GCATCACAATTCTGCTACTGCAATAAGCAATGGCTTGTAAACAGGTAGCATCAACCAGAGTCAAAGGCAGTTCCAATGGGATGCCTAAAGTGGCTGGTGAGACAAGGAAAGGGTGGATGATGGGAAATTGAGTGAGATGTGTTGGTATTGGAAGGAAAGGAAGACAGAGCTCCATGTGAGTGATTGTGCATCAGATTGAGACAACTAGATGATTGTCCAAGGACAAAATGTAGAAGAAGGAATCTCCAGAGGAAAGCCGGTCAATCTAAGGGAGTTTGATCTTGTTTCTCCTGTCAAAAGAAACATATTTGAGTGTTTTCATTAGTCTTTATAGACTCACTTTTTCAATATTTCATTGGCCATTCACAGCCCACTTCTGTTGATTTCTGTGTAAATAATTATCAAATCTTCAAGGGTGTGGCTTTGGGAGGTAATTTAAGAACTTGTGATTTTCAGAATAACCACAGCAGTGCAATAGCAACACAAAAGTGATAATGCTGTGTTTTGTTTTGCTTTGCGGTTACAAAATAATGAAAACAGTCATTCCTTTGCATTTTACATAGTCTCTTTCTATTTCCCTTCTGTTTTAGCCTGTCTTTCTCTTCTTCCTTCATATTTTCCTTGCCACTTTCCTACAAAAAGAAACAGGTGTTTTCTTTTGGATATGTTCCATTTGTCTTGATTTGTTTAACCATCAACAATAGTTGGCGCAGAAGGAGAAAGGTACAGCTATCCCCTTGTCCAGGTGTTTAGCTACATGTTTAGCTACAAGTGTTTATTTCTCTCCTGAATGCATGCATTTGTGCTAATTTAACTGCTAAGTAGAATAAATATGCAAAACTAAAACCAGAGGAGTGATAAAAAGTTGATGCACAGTTTTAGAATGTTAAGCATTGGTAACCAATTCACTTAGATTTAGACACATTTTATTTCTACAAATGTCATACTGTATAATGTCGTGTAATTAGAACAGGAAATCATTGAGTAAGTGAGGAATGAATAAGAGTACTTAGGCTGAAAGGAAAATTACCTTCTGAGAAATTATATTCACACTCCACACCCCCATTCTTGCTTCACACGATAATGTTGGTAGTGATAGAAACTGATGCAAATTTTCTCATCTGTAGTACATTGTTCTGCTAGGTTCTTCACAAGCTTACATCACACACACACACACACATCTTTTTTAAAAATTCATTTTTCAAAAATTGAATGCACAGAATTTACGAAGTGCCTAATTAGAAGCTGGAATTGTGCCTTGCAGCAGAACGACGACGACATGGAAACACCAATGTAATTATTGGTACCTCTGAAAGCTGGAGGCATGCCAAGTATTGGAAGCTGTTCTAGTTTGGTTGCTAGCATGTGATCAGGCTGGAGCAAAGTTTAGAAAAATACATAGTAAAACATCAAAAGATTATACCGTACAAACCTCCTCTAGAACTGAGCTGCCTTAGATCAATCTTAGATTGGATGCTCTTCGGATCTACACTCTGCAGCAGAACTAATTAATATTAAGCCGAAGTGGCTAAGTAAACAGCGTGTCTGTCTTTAAAGTGGTGGAGTTAACAGGTGATGCCCCACCAGCAGGCAGAAGAGATTCCCAGGAGCACCAAGGCAGGGCAAGGTGCCCTCATGAGTTCTCTCCTTCCATCCACTTCTTTCCAAGATGTCTCATAAGAGTCTCTTGCAGGCCTGCCTGGAAACGTTTGAGAGCTTCTATATGCAACCTCAGTAGGCAGCTGCCACCAGCCCTCCTGAGCCCTTCCGTACGGTCTTAGGTGCAGTGAACGAAATGCCAGAAATGAAAACAATAAACACACACCCAGACCCCCACAAGCATGATAAGAAAGCAAGAACACGCCTGTCTTTTCTCCTCAGAAAAGGGGAGACGACGTTTCAAAAATAGCTCTTCTAAGACAGATTTGGAATCAGTTAAACAAAAAATCGCTTCTCCTGGCATTTGGACTAATGCGATTAAGAGAACGAAAGGGTAAAATTCCTGGCAGATTTCTGCAGCTGGGTAATTAGGTACAGGAAGGGACATGCCTAGTTTTCCATCCAGCTCTACAAAATCCCAATGCAAAGATTATTTTTGTGTGTGTGTTTTTGAAAAGGGGAAAAGCTCAGTTGATGTTAAAACTGGATTTGGTGGTTAGCCATAATCATTGGAGTGTGGTGTTTCTGAAGCCCAGCAGGACAAGCTCCTTTTGTGTGTTTCTGTGTTCAGTTGAAAGACTTTTTGATCTTGAAAGTCAGTTTGAGCCTTAATGGTGAGGGTTGGACTTTGACCTGAAAATTCAATTTCTGCTTCCAGGGGCGACTAGTGTAAAACCATTGTTTTCTCATGGTGATCAAAATCGAGAAAAGGTAGTTGTCCACATAGCCAGGGTGCCAAGCATCTGAGAGGGAACCACTGAAAGTTTTCCTTCAGAAGTTATTTGGACTAGAAAGAAAAATACAAAGAGCTCAGTGCATCTGCTCTTTAAAATGGTCCCGTGAAAAGGTTACTCGCCAGCTGCAGTTCCAGGGCTTGTCCAGCATGGAGAGGTTTGGGCTCTCCCCTGTCCCGATGTCCTTCATGGTTCCAGGCCCATCTGCAACTGATAGTCCATCGCCAAATGACCGTGCCCTAGAAGACATGGCAGGATGATGGCAGAGCTCCTTTCTAAGACCAGCCAAATGAGCGGAGGGGGGAGGAAAGGGGCCATCGAATGACGGCACCCCAGGGAGAAGGAGCTGACAATTGACTGGGCCTCTCTCTTTCCACAGAGAAAATGAAAATTGGAGAATTGTGCTCCTGCTCAAAGCAGATTATCATCAAATATTTCATTCTGACACAGTGCTATAATTTTAACATATAACCATAGTAACATTTACTAAGTTCTACTGAAAGAAATCAAAGGTTTTTCTCCTCCCCGTTTCAGTGAGGAGAGATAGAGAGACCTTTGATTATTATTTTTTTTCTGGCATTGGTGTGGTGGAAATAATATATTTGTTCCAGGAATCATTTGTTTGTCTTTGCTTAAACAAATGGAAATGCTTTTTTTCCTTTCCCCTCTTTGTCTTTTGGTTGGACATTTTTTAAAAGGTGTGCGGGGTGAGGGGAGTTAATTCCATGCAGCACTCTTATGAACTCATATTGCTTTTTTATTTTTATTTTCATTATTGCTTTCACAGCTTTGAGTTAAAATCTAGTAAATGTAAAGAGAGTAGAAGTTCAGGGTAAAAAGATATAACTTTAGTGATGAGTTGGCTTTAAAATATCCCTTTAAAATAATCCTGAATAATATTACAATCATTTTAGTAATGTGCTTTACTATTAATATACTGTACTGTTTATAAAATGGTTAAAGACGGGAGAGAGGGAGAGAGGGAGGGGGAGATATCTTGTCAAAAACAAACCAACAATCTCAAATAATACCAAAACACTGATACGCAATCCTGAACAGGATTTGCACCTCATCTGCTAGGACTATCTGTATAAATGGGGCATAGCATCCTCCCCTCGGTGTGGCTGAGGGGTCCCATGTTAAACTGTGTAGATCACATCATGACTTCTGTAAGCTGAGGACATATACCAGTCCAGTATCTGATTTTTTAAAAATGTAAACAATGATACGCTTCAGTGGTTAGATGGCCTAGACATTGGTATTTGAACATAGATCTCTTTAACATTTATATTTTATTGCGCTTTACTAATCTAGATGAGATGTTAATATATATTGCTAGTCCATGTACAATACGCCATATGCTAAATGAATAAACTGACACACATAAATGCAGCTTGAGTACATCCTGGTATATTGGGGAGATGTGGCCTTAAATCTATGATTGAAGACAGCAGGTCTTGTGCAAAGATTTGGTTACAACATTATGATTAAAAGGACCATAAACCCACCCTGCAAAAGTGGTCTTTAGGAACCTGCAACGGATGGGCAGGACAGACAGTGAAGCTGAAAAGGTTTCAGGAGGAGCCTTATCACACTTCTGAGAAAATAGGGCTGACCGGAAATTCTTCCCAAGCTAATATCTGAGATGATTCATGGCACTGAAAGCGACCAAGGCAAGTGGCCCGTGGGCTCTTAAGAGCTTCTGCAGGTGGGAAAGCGGTGCCAGCTACCCTGTTTGTTTCATGCTGCATCCATCGCTGCCTTGTATACACCCACCAAAGCCATTGCTGGCTTTGCTGTTCCTTGGCATCTTATAGAAAGAGAAACAGTGGAGTCTGGGCCACGTGCACAAGCCAAACAAGCCATACGTACCATGGCCTCATTCAGCATGTTATGAGGGTCAGGGCAGGACTCAGCAACACCTTTCCCTAAGCAGTTTCTGCTCACAGGATGGGGAAAATCGTCATACTCACAGTTCTGGTAATCTGTGTTTTTAAAATGCTGGATGTTTTTTTCAGATTGGTTGGAGTTTAGCCACATATAAAAGATTTAATTTGTGTACAAGAGTTCTATAGAAATTCAGACTTGGCTTTCTTTGGGGTTTTGCCAGTATGGCGAGTTCAGATTAATAATTAAATTACCATTTTTATTCAAGTGTAATATTATAATTTCATATCCACATTCAAGGACCCTATTATTAAGAGATTGCTTATGCATTATTTATCTATTCTATTTATCATTAAAAAGAGAGGCTTATAACAATCCCCCAAAAAATAAACAATTAAAATGCTCTTAGTAAGCAGTAGAATATAACTATTCAATCAAAATTTCAAAAATGGTAAAATTAATTAGTCACCAAATGCTAAAAGTACTGAAAATTTTATTCCAAAGTAGCTGATGGTTGGATGGGTGGTTGGATGGATGGATGGATGGGTGGGTGGGTGGTGGATGGGTGGGTGGGTGGTTAGATGGA